AATACAAATAAAAATTATACAATACAAATGGAAAGTTATACAATACAAATGGAAAAGATCGAATATTGCAACGTTTGACATGCCATATTATGGTAATTTAATTGAAGATTTTGGGCAAGTAATTTAATTAATTACTTTCCTATGTAATTGGTCCCATCCCTGGAAGAAATAAATATGACTCACCTTTAATGTCTTTTGAGTCCTATTTATCAAATTATCTATTCGATCTGCCGTCCTTCTCTCATTGTCCGAATATAGCCTTACGACAGGTAAACATTTACGAAAATATTTACTTGATCTCTGTTTTAAGAAATCAATGTTTTCTTTCAATTCGCCATATCCAGATTCTGTAAGAATATCAAGAAGAATTTGTTCGACCGAAGTGAAGAAACCATCTTCAGAATCATATTCATCCACATCTTCTTCACACTGATAATCTTCAAACAAAGTATGTAATGTAAGGAAATATGTTTGCAATTCGGAAAGATTTCTTTTCTCTTTTTCCTTAAGATCACCGATGTTAAGTAATAATAAGAATAATGTTTGTGTATCTAAGGAATCTACATTGACATCTTGTACAGATTCGTATTTGCAGGAACATGAACCTTGGAATGGACATTTTGAACGAACAATCTTAAAAAGCTGTTGCCATTGTCCTCTAGACATGAACGTCTTTGCTTGTGGTGAGGATGATGTTCGGCAGCAACAGCAGCGCTTTGTGACGCGTAAATGAAATATTTCATGTTTTTTCTTGTGTACAAAGTTCGTAAAAGATTCGCATATTCTATCTTCAATAATGCGCTGTACAGCACGTTTTCCTTCCACCTGAATGAGAATTGCCGACGTGATTTCGATGGGTGGCCAATTCTGCTGCAAGTGTTCAGCCATTTTTTCTAATGTAAATTTTCTTTTTATCTTGCTGAAATATTTTGAGAATAATAAACTCCTATAATAAAAGATTAAGAAGAGAATTTTTACATCAATATCCATATCAGAATCATGTAGAGTTCATTTTTAAAAACTTTCATCAAGATACTGTAATAAAAATCTTTGATTTACTGGAAAATGTTGTTTTTGAATTTTGTATAATATCTCTTAGGTTTCAACAAATAATTCAAAAGAAAATTCTTATTTTCTAGTAGAAAAAATCTTTCAAACCTTTGTCAGCAAACTATATGAAAAAGGAAAAAATAAATTATTACCATACCTGAAGATATTTATGATGCGATTTCATACATATCCCAAAGATTGCAGCATGTGACAAATCAAAAGTCTTCAGAAAAGTGCGAATTTATCCTAGACACTAACGTTTAAATACTGTACGTAAATGTTATCGTAATAAATTATTTTCCTCACTCCTATCAAATCAATGTTTTGCGATAAGAAAAATATTAGCGTTTAATGCCCGTGGATTTATACCGGTAAATAGATTCAGCAAACAGCAGGAATGAAGCTGGTCAGGTCAACATTTGCCGAATATCCTTATCAGATTAACTAATAGATGTCTATTTTCAATGCATACAAAGTCTTTCTACCTTTGAAATTACACATGTTACTAACATTGCAGACGTTTGATTTATTCAATCATAGTAAAAATATATCCAAATGAAATATAGAAGCTGCTAAACATTTTTTTTCTTTTTTGCTTAGAGGCAAAGATATTAAATCATGTATTATAAGTTTATTATTTTTTGAAAAAATCACAGTTATCCCAACTGTTTACCAATTGATGTTCAGATTTTTTCTGTTGTGACTTTTTCTTTTAAAAGCACTGGTTATATTTATGTATCCAGGAACAGGTCAGTTGGAAGAAATTTCACGGGGGGGGGGGGGGAATTCAAAAATTTCAAGGGGGGGGGGGCTATCAAGGAAAAATTCTTTATTATGCAAAAAAAAAAAAAATTAAGAATATGTTATTATTTACACGATTTATGGTACACAAGCATAAAGAAGCTATGTTTTCTACAGCATATAATTATACATGGGAAAAATATTATATTAAGGGGAGGGGGGGGGGGGAGGTCCCAAGTCTCCCTCCTCTCCCCGGTTCCTATGGCCATGAAAAAAAAGAAAGCTACAAGCAATATATTATATATATACATACAATAAATTCAGAACCGAGTTTTATTTCATATTGATGCCACTGGATTGACTTTTTCTTGTTTTTTAAGCAAAATAATTTGTTTCTGGACTCAGAGTTATGTTGATTACGCTGGATACAACTTTTCTTAATTCGTCATGTAATAATAAATTTTGCTCACGTCAGACAAGCTTTTTAAGAAAGCTAACACTTGTCTTGTTACTAGTTATTGTATGCAGTATATATGTCATCTATTTAGATAAGTGGATAATGTTTGTCTCCATGTAGGGAAAAGTGTGTAAAATGCAAATAAATGATGTTTGTCTGCCTCTATGTAAAGGCTTGTCAAGTACATATAAATTTTGTCACTTCAATGATTTGCATATACAAAAACTTTATACATTGGAAGAAACATCCTAGGTAAATATACAATATTGTGCCTCTCTCAAAGTAGAAGAGAAAGAGAAATTGCAGTAATAAAATCATGTACCTTGGGCCACAAAATTTTGGCATTCTGAAATCTAAATGCTCCATTACTTTTCACCAATTTTGGGAAGCAGGTCCAAGATTTGATCTTAATCAGATCGAATAAATGGGTGTCACATGTCTGTCGTCATTTGTCTAAAACATTCTTTCCGTTGCTACATTGTATGTTTAGAAATTCTTTGGAATATATCTCTAAATAGTTGGTTACCATGACTATCTTTGACATACAATTAAATATAATAATTTATAGACACATACCCCCCCCCCCCTTCTGCAAACCCATCGGATTAAAGCACAAATCAAAAATATTTTTTTAATATAATAGAATTGAAGTAAATGAAAATAGTTTGTTCACTTGCAGCACACCAAATTTCTGTACCCAGATCATCCAGTTTGCAGAATCTGTCAATCATAGTCAGATTCATTGTCTCTAATTTTACTAACAAGTGGTATATATACATATTTTTTTTAAAATCTAAAACAAGGTGAATTTTAGGGACAGTAGTTATTGGATGTGTATAATTATTGTTTTACATATGTACAACTTTATTAATGCACTCAGACAACAAATGTATAGTAAAATGTGGCACAATATTATTTTTGGAGAAAAATTTCATGGGGGTCCCTAGAGTGCAGAGCTTATACCATGAAAAGTAATGCGTCAACATATAATTTTTTTAGCTAATTCTTTTTCTAAGGTATTATTTTGTAAAAAGAAAACACTTTCTAATAGATTGAGTCCATAAAAATATTTTAAATTGACCCAGATTGACCTGTGCAGCATATTTTCTTGAGTTACATTTTGATACGTTAGCCCATCAAAATGCACATATTTATAATAATTCACGCAAAACAATGATTAAATATGGTTTGATAACATGTTTCCATTCTATTTTGAGTATTATAGTTTGACTGTATAGATTTTAATTCTTATTTATTGACAATTTTGAAGACAGGAACTATTTCTTAAATTTCAATATTTGGCCTTTTCAGGTATATACTGCTGAGAGGCAATAGCAGAAAAATAAGCATGTTGACATAAAATTTTTCTTATGTCTGTCCATTGCTGGGATGTATATCTATGTTCTGAAACCAAGTTTTTCAACCTTGAGCCCAATTAGTGCCGAGTATAGAACTACCTTAAACAGAAGAATTTTAAAGATTTTCCTCTATCTATCCCTATGTCAAACTCTGATCGCTCATTGTGGCCCCACCCTACCCACCCTAAATTTGAACAAATTTGAATCTACTCTATCTGGGGATGCCGACTCGTCGGATGCCGGTTTTCGTGTTTGCAAAATTTGATCCCAATAAGACTTTTGAGCAATTGCAATATGTAAATGTCTAGTAAACATTTGACAAATTGGAACTAAAGGAAATTTGAAAGAAATTACTATATTACTGCCGACGATTGAAGCCAGATCCCTCACATACACGTATTTTCTCGAAATCTTCGCGTGCAGACTTTCTAATTTATTATATGGAATACTAATAACACTTTGACACATATCCCACTCAATACCCAGCAAGTGTAGTTTCCGAGTAGGTTCCCATAACTCTTTTTTTCCCCTCGATTAACAAGAAAACCTGCGAAAACCTTCAATTTTCTTTTGTGTCGCAGAACCAACCATCGTCTAAGTACATAATTGTTGGGAATGAATTAGATCTTAGATTAGTGCTACTAAAGATCTTAATATTTTATATCCCGCAGAACTTAAACCAAAAGGTAAAACGGAAAAGACAAAATATCTTACAGTTCCGTTAATTTTTCAAGAAAATCCAAGATATTGATAATGATGTATGATGATAACCGCTAGTTAAATCAAATTTTATCATATAATTTCCTTTCTTTTCAAAGTTAAGACCTTCTTTATTTTTTAAATTTAACTTTTCATGAGAAGAGAATTTAGGCCATCTTTAAAAAATTGTTTGTTTGCCCTCTCCCGACCGACTGGCTAAAAATGGTCCGACTCGAAACTTTTTTTAATCTCCAGGAAAGATATTTTTTCTTCTTTTTATTCCTGAATTTCCTCATCTTGTCTAAATAAATTATTTTCTAAATAAAAATCTCCCTCCTACCTTAAAGGGCAAACAAACATTATTTCAAATATGGCCTTACATATCTTAGATCCAGTATCATCCTTTGCTTTTTGTTCGCAGAAACTGTTTAAGGATTTACACAAAACGGAACTTGAAAACTTTCCCAGACCAGATCTTTCTTCAAAAGTTCGAGAATAGATTTTTCTACAAAACATGCATTTTCTAAAGCGGATTTATTGTTTTAAAGAAAAGTTCTCTCCAGGTGCTAGTGCTACTACATCCTGTTGAAGAGTGAGTGGTATGACAACTATGTTTTCAAATAATAGTATGCTGTCGTGTTCTGTTGGTGCGACAGTCAATTTGTTAAGAATGCGAAAGTACACTTAACTCTGACATCTTTTGGAGTCGTCTTCCACTCTCCTTTCAGCATTCTTGATATTACTTCTTGAATGGTCTTTGTCTGAAGCATCAGTAATCTGTTTAAGTAATAGGGTTCTTGACTTTGCTGTATATAGAACAAAATTCAAAAATTCCTCTGCTATCTTGGAGTGTCGGAATGTGTTTTCCCATTTCAGAGGATGCCATGAGATATAGTCAGCCTGATTTCCTTTCCCGGAACGATATTCAACAGTGAAGTCATAGGGCTGTAATCGCAACCTCCACCTTTCAATCCTGGCAGGGGACTTGCTTCTTGTATTATCGAAGATTATCTCCAAGGGCTTATAATCAGTTGTAAGTATGAACTCAGCGCCAAATAAGTAGAGATGAAAATGTTCAATTCCCCAAACTATGGCTAGAGCCTCCTTTTCTGTCTGGGAGTACGTACCTCGTTTCCACATCCGAGAGAGCCTTGCTTGCATAAGATATGAGTGAGTACTGCCCCGATTTTCACTGGACTCGCATCAACCAGTAGTTTTGTCTTCTTTTCTGGATCCAAATAAGCCATAACATCAGTGATTAGTTTATCCTTCAGTTCGTCAAATGCTGATTGTTCTTCTTTGCTCCAATGCCAAGTTCACCTGGATTTTGCAGAGCTGCGGCTGACTTGATGTCATCTATCTTCTTTGGGTCGGCTGCCATCCCTTCTGCACTTAAGTGGTATCCAAAAAACTTCACAGAGTTCTTGTTAAATTCACACTTTGACTTGTTCCAAGTTATGTTTTTCTCACGTAATCTCTGTAGTACCTTCTCAAGTCTTTGATCACACTCCTCTTGTGTTTTTGCGAGCACGATTATAACTTCACTGATGTTTCGAGTGCCTTCTAGGCCTTCCAAACAGTCTCTGATTATGGTTTGAAATTTTTCTGCAGCGCAGCTGATTCCGAATATCAAACATTTGTACCTCCGGAGACCGAAATGCGTAGTAAATGTTTTTATGTTTCGTGATTCAGGTGCTAGTTCCAAATGATGATATCCGGAGTTGAGGTCCAATTTTGAAAATACACGAGATCCATTTAGGTCGAGATGATGTTATCTATAGTGGGTGTTATATGCCGTTCTCTCTTGATTGCAGTGTTCACCTGCCTCATGCCAACACAGATCCTAATTTCCTCTGGTTTCTTTGGTTTAGGGGCTACCACTATAGGGGAAACCCAGGGAGTAGCATAGGTCCCTCAATTTTCTCTATAATACCAAGCTCTTCTAGTCTCTCTAATTTGGCTTCCACCTTTATTCTCATGTGGAATAATATCCTCCTATGTGGCTGTGCGACAGGTGCTTTGCTATCATCAACATGTATCTGTAGCTGGAGGTCCTTTATTTTCCCAATGCCTTCAAATTTGTCTGAGAACTCATCAATGATTTATTCAGACTTTGACGGCGTGACTAATCAAATAACTGGTATAACATCTAAGTCACTGCTGTCTGTAGCTGAGAAGTGATCTATAACTTCCTTTAACAACACATGCATGTATCTCTGCAGTTGTTATTTGGTGAGTGATAGATGAAATTTCAGTCCTGAAACTGCCAACTAAATTTATTGGCATTTTGAATCCATATGCATAAACTCTTGTACCAGTATGATCAATGTTGGGAAGTTCCTCAAGTTTGGCAAGACTTCTTTCATCTTAAATGTTCACTGCAGTTCCTGTATCAACTAGCATTTCAATGTTTGTGCATTCTTAATTTGGTTTTCGGTTGTTTATTGTTTCCCTTGAGTTTGTGGATACGAAAGGAATATTCGTCCTCTGAGCTTGACACTTCAGCTGATGCTGTTTGGAGTTGTTTCACCATCTTCGATTTGCACACCCTAGCGAAGTGATTCAGTTTACCACATGATCTACACTTTTAGCCTCTTGCAGGATACTGTCCAGTATGAGGGTATGGTCCTTCACGATGATGGCTTGTTTTCTCATGTTTTTGTCGTTCTGAGTTTCCTCTGTTTCTACAAGTTCCTCTTTGTACAAGTCGGCCTCTTCTGTTTCTGGTCGTACATGTATGTGTGAATACTGTGTTTGCTTTTTACGTGAGTTATCTGGGGACTAGGGGCTTTGTCACTACATTAACAAGCATTTCACCTGAAGCCTGAGCTTCACTGTTTTCAAATGATCTTGCAAGCAATAGCAATTGTTTTAAGTCAATTTCACTTTCTTCCAAGCCTCGAGGAATTCCTTGATTGTATAATTTGACTTTTAATTTCGTTTTTCAATGTTTGTCAGTTTCCTAAGGCGAGTGTGAAACGTGTCAATGGACTCATCTGTCTGTTGTTTTGCTTGTCGGAATTTGTAAATGCCATATTCCTTATTCTTTTTGGGACGAAGTACGTGTTTAAAGTATCTACAGCTTGTCTGTAAACATCTTCCTCACCTTCTGTAAGGGTAAATGTTGTGAAAACATCATGCACCTCCTCGCCTACATAATGCAACAATAAAGTTTTCTAACGCTTCTTATCATTATCATTTTCTCCATAGTGTTGCCGTGCTTCCTTCAGCGTGAACGACAAATGAGGGAAACTGGGGAAGTGCCGCCATTTTGCTTATCTACACGTAGTGCGATATAGCAAATCGAAAGTTGATGTTTTGTCACTTGCCCTCGTAATGTTGACCTGGAATGGCATTTTGAGCGATCTTCGTGTGCGCTTTCGAACTCGCTGTCCTCATCACCAGTGTAATGTTCTTATAATTACTGAAGAGTCAAGAAGTAACCTCACATGTGTTCAATACACTTTTTTTTATCTAGAACACATGCAGGAAGTAACAGGTATCTAAAATACAAAAACGAAAGTACAGAGATAATAGATTTCCGGATATTACGGTTGTACCCTGTGCACTGCTGGACTCCTGAATTCCCACGAAAAAGCTGTCTAGGGGTAAGGCCGTCCAAATTCCCGGGCTTGACCAACTGAGAATCTTGACTTTAAGGAAAGCATCTTCTCTTCTTTGCAGCTGCTGTTCAAAGAGCGGCAAGGAGTTTGGAATCGTCTTCAGAATTTTCAGCGAGATCAGAGTCAGTATATTCGTTGACATTATCCCATCCATGCTTGTCGGCAATACTTAAGATTTTACTCCTGTGGCGTAAGGCTTCCTTTTCTTTATGGATGATCAAATATTTCACCAATGTCATTTATCATTATCTTTTTCTCGATCGAATTCCAGGGTTCTGAGCCTTTCCTCATTAAAGGATTTCCCACGTAAGCTGAATACCTTAGCTCCTTTTTCCAACCCCTCTAACATCACCATCATTATCTGTGTGGTACACTACTTACGAAAAATTACATCGACAGCTGTTTTATAGTTTACTAAAAATGCCCACTTTGTTGGTATTAAGTGCGGTCCCCCGAATTGAATTTTACATGTAGATGAGACATCTAATATAGGGAGTAGGCGACCCCCAGCAAAGTCAATGAGCAATCGCTGGACATATATAATAACGCCGTCAAAATTTTAGCAGATTTGCTTAAATAGATCAATATCAAATTTATTTTATTTCAAAAATAATTTTAGAGAGAAAGAGAAAGAGAGTGCAATGCAAGAAACGCATTGCGCAAATAGATGGAAATTCAGAACTAAATAAATTCTGTAATCAATGTATGTAAACATATTTTTCGTGCTACACATGTATTTCAATGAAAAAAAAATTTTAGAAAAGAAAACCATTTGCACAAATATTTTTGACATCGAATTTTAAATTATGAAATTCTCTCTCTCTCTCTATACTGAAGTAAATACTTTGTAGAGAATAACAAAAATTATTTTAACAATTTTTTGAGGTGGTATAGGCCTAGAGATATTGAATCACCGGCACGAAGAATTTTTTTAGCCCATGACGCAGATGTCTATACTTTAGAGGGGAAAGGTTGATAATGAATATGAATCATGAAAAAAAATATATTAGTTATATTTGACAGAAGGTACAATACTTGGCAGCAACAAATAATTCATTGTCAAAAGATTAAGAAAAAGTCCCTGTTATCGCTCTCGTCGAAATGCTGGTCGGAGCTAAAGCCACGTGGTTTTATTCAATTCTGTGGTTTTGTTTCAGTTTTAATGACACCAGGCTGACAAGAGGCCTACTATGGCCCTTCTGTTCTTTATGAGCATATTTTTACTCTATATATTCCTATGTAAAATTAAGATAATATTTTGTGGCCCCACCCTACCCCAAGGCATCATGATTTTAACAAACTTCAATCTTCATTACCTGAGGGTGCTTCCATATAAATATTACCGATCATGGCTTTGCTTCTCTTAAGAAGACTTAAAAAGATTTTTGAAGACGCTTCCATACAAATATAACTAATCAGGGCTTTGCTGTTCTTGAGAAGAAGACTTTTAGAGTTTTTTCCCAATGCACGTATTCCTATTTAAAACTTCGAACGCCTGTTGTGATCGCCTACCCCCGGGGGTCATGATTAGAACACTTGAATATACACTACCTGAGGATGCTCCGATACAAACTGTATATATATGACTAATCACGGCTTTACTGTTCCTTAGAAGATGATTTTCCCTATTTATTCCTATCTAAATATTCGATCATCCATAGTGGCCAAACCCTACCCCCAGGGGTCATGATTTGAATAAACTTGAATCTGCACTACCTGAGGATGCTTTCACATAATTATGAATAATGATGACTTTGCTGTTCTTTAGAAGAAGAATTTCAAGGATTTTTCTTATGTATTCCTATCCAAAACTTTGATCGCCCATAGTGGCCCCACCCTACCCCCAGGGATCATGATTTGATCAAATTTGAATCTACACTACCACAGAAAGCTTTCACTAAGTTTCATCTTTTCTGCCCCAGTGGTTCTTGAGAAGACGACAACAACAGACAACGGACAAATTTCGATCAGAAAAACTCACTCAATCGAGCTATCTTTTCCTTTTTAAAATACAAAGGTTATCTATTGGGTTGATTTGATATATATGAAAACGGCCAACGAAAAACTGGTGTTAACAAGATGACCGTATCCTTCTAAGGACCACAATAAATCAAAAGCGTAATTTCTGGTTTGGTTTTCTTTACCTTAATTTTTGTCCGTCGTTCATCAGTCGTACTTTTGAACATTTTCAGCTTCCTTTGAACCGCTGAACCAATTTCAACCAATTTTGGCATAAAGGTACAAAAATTTGAATTTCATAGTCACTGTCCCCCTGGGACCTTAGGGGTGGGGATAAAACCATCAACATTAGTGCTATCTTTAAAGATCTTCTTCTTTATTCCTGCACATCAAGCAGTCAAACTGTTGGCATGATTGTAATAAGCATTGAATCCTCTACCAAAATTGTGAAATTCCAGGGTCTGTAGTTCCGGAGTTTAGGTATTTCGACCCTCCTGTGATGTCATAGGTTTTGCAAGAACTGTTATTAATTTAAATTTATACCCCATAGAAAATATA